AGGGGGTATTTTTAGTTGGGTTTTAAAACAATTTTTAAAATAACAAAGGCCAAATTAATATTTCCTTTTAATTACGTTTTAACGGTAGTATTTTTGTACTTTTGTATTTGTTTTTATTAGGCTGTTAGCCGCCCTGAGTCCGCAAGGAGAAGGGCGGGGTAAAAATATAATAAATAAATAAATAAATAAATAAATAAATTATTCCTCAAACTTTTCCTTCTTTTTTTTTTTTTTTGAAACACAGATAGTTATTCACGCACTGCAGTGTACTCACTATGTAATCCTCTGGCAGCTAGCAAAAGTAGCTGAGAGCAGTTCTACAAAGGTAGGTGCTGGCAGCACCGGGATAACTTGGCTCCGTGGGAATGGAGTACAGGTCATCCTCGACTTAGGACCATAATTAAGCCCAAAATTTCTGTTGTTAAGTGAGACAGTGGTTAAGCGAGCTTTGCCCCATTTTATGACCCACCTTAACACAGTTTTCAAGCGAAGCACTGCAGTTGTGAAGTTAGTAACACGGTTGTGAAGTGAATCTGGCTTCTTCCCCCATTGACTTTGCTTGCCGAAAGGTGTCACGAAAGGTGATCACATGACCTCAGGACACGGCAACTGTCACAAGTACATGCCAGTTGCCAAGCATCCACATTTTTATCACACGACCATGGGGATGCTGCAATGGTCATAAGTGTGAAAAACATTCACATGTCTCTTTTTTTCTATAACGTTCTAACTTTGAACAGTCACTTAACAAATGGTCGTAAGTTGAGGACTACCTGTACAAAGTCAAGTATAATGGGCCATTGTACAAATGTTTAGGGTTCCTTCTTGGGAAGCTGACCAATATCCTCAAATCCTGTGTTTGTATATGTTTGTGTGTGTGTGTGCACACGCAGCTATAGTTATATTGGGGTAAAAAACTCCAGTTGAAGTACATTCAGAGTAAAAAAAATTGATTTTGGCAATAGTATGAGAGTAACTTCCTCTTTGCAATAAGAGAGGGATGGAAAGGAGATAGAGTCTCTTTTTCTGATTTGCAGAAATAGGGCCAGAGAAAGATCAAACTATCTGAAGCTATTATGGGATATTTTACGCTACTGTTCCCCTCCATAGAAAAAGTTCTCCATTTCTTAAAAAAAAAAATTACTCATTTCTATTCATTATTCGTGTACAATTCAAAATAAACTTACTCATTGTTTAATATTTTTTCATTTCTAAGGAGGACCTTCTACGCTTAAAGAAACAGATGAGAGTTTTTTGTCAAATCTGTCAGCACTACCTTACCAATGTAAATACTGCTGTTAAAGAACAGGTTAGTCACAGGTTTTAATATCGGATCATTTTTGTGTGTGTAAGTAGTTAGATGCTCTTCATGCAAAATTAATTTTTCACTGGCACTGTGTGTAAGAAAGTGTAGCATGATTTGTGCGCCCTGGTTAATGAAACAGACCTGAAGCTCTTTGTTTTATTTCAATTTTTGTCCTGCCAACTATGTTGAAGTAGAAGGAGAGGTTTGTATACTTTTTGAAAGGGCAAAACCTAAGAAGGTGCCAAGTCACATATTTGTATAAAAGATAGCATAATTTCATTATTAACAGTCAGTACAGCTAAGGTAAAAAGTGCACAGTAAATACAAGAAAACATAATGCTATCAAAACGAATAGTAAATGTGTTAGTTCCAAGTAATGACTTTGAATTGGCTTCTATTCAATGAGACAGTTTTGTATTGAGACAATACTTAAATAATGGAGTCAGGTATGTTAACACCATTTTCTAAGGCAGTGGTTCTCACCTTTCCTTCACCACAGACCCCCTTTAAATACCTTTTGTGACCATGGACCTCCAAGACTTAGCGCAAGGTTTAAATCATAACATTTTTCAAACCTTTGCGGACTCCTTGTGATGACATTGTGTCCTCTGCCAGGGATCCACTGTTCTAAGGACATAGCTTTCTAGAGGCTTGACTTGCAATAAGTTTCTGTTGTTGTTGTTGTTTTTTTTCTCTCGCTCTCTCTTTTTTTTATAACAATGCATCTCATTCCTTCCGTTGCAGGCCTTCACTATTTTGTGCGATGTGTTAATGATCTTCAGCCATCAGATCATGTCAGGAGGACGTGACATGTTAGAGCCATTAGTTTACACTCCCGATTCTTCCTTACAGTCTGAACTCCTGAGTTTTATTCTTGATCATGTCTTTATTGACCAGGATGACGATAGCAACAGCGCAGGTATGGGGCTGCGGAAAGGTGTCTCTGATTTCTTCTCGGTAGCAACAGGGATCTAACAATGTTTTTTTTTTCTCCCTGAGTTGTACTTTTTTTTTTTTTTTAAACTTAGCCAGACATGGAAGTTGCAACTGGAGATTGCAGGGTTAGAGCTTGATCTCCACGGAGCACTGAGTCGGTCTCCAAAGGAAGTTGCTCACTTAGAAAAGAGTAGGACTTTAGTCCTGTTCGCTTTGAGATGTAGAGATACAACTTGCTCAGCCTTACTTGTCCTGTTGTACCTACCTGAGGGGTTTTTTTTTCCCTATAAGAAAGTCTGGAATTATGTGTTTCTCATCTGCAAAACTGAGAGCCCTTGGGCTCTGTTTTCATCTTATCTTGGGCCACATTGCTCTTGAAGCTATTGTTAAGTTTTTCTGATGGAGGGAGTCCTTGGTGCACTCTGACTTTTTCTGATGTACATTTGGTGAGCTGTTGTCTGAACTTCCCTAAAATTCAATTGCTCGGGTGCTTGAAAAAAAAATATGACTGGAGGTCTGAAACCAGCTTTAAAACTTACCAGCTTAAGAGTTTAGCTTATATCTTTTTAAAGGTTTTGTTAATTTGTTAATTTTGGAACTCAGAGACATAAAGGCTTTTCTAAGTAGGTCAATTGAAAGTAATACTAATGGGGACTGGACCACTTTAAATCTTTCAGCCTGCTTTTGGTAGCTTAAGAAAGCATTGGATTCTTTCTCTTGCTACGAACTGTTACCTTGTTCGAATATTGCAGGGCAAAAACAGGTTATAAAGATGCAGTTGATACCAAAATCATATCTAAACGCCTGTCCCTGAATGAATGCTCATACACATTCTTTTTTTCTTTTCTTTTTTTTTTTTTAAAGATGGACAGCAGGATGATGAAGCTAGTAAGATAGAAGCTTTGCACAAAAGAAGAAATTTGCTTGCGGCTTTTTGTAAACTTATTGTGTATACCGTGGTGGAAATGAACACTGCTGCAGATATTTTTAAGCAATATATGAAGGTAATGAAAGCCTACAGGGAAGGGGATCTGAGGTTCTCATATAA